GGGGAAAAATGGCATTTTATAGGAGAAAAATGGGGAGAAAATGGCATTTTATAGGGGTTTATAGGGGAATCCCCACCAGCCCCACCGGCCAGACGGACACGCCGCGGGTGCTGCGCATCTGGGGGGGGAAACGGGGGGAAAATGGGGGAAAATTGGCATTTTATGGGGGAAAATGGGGAAAATGGAATTTTATAAGGGAAAAATGGGGGAAAATGGGGGAGAAAATGGAGATAAAATGGGGAAAAATGGCATTTTATGGGGGAAAAATGGGGAAAAAATGGGGAGAAAATGGGGAAAAAATAGGGGAAAATGAGGAGAAATGGGGAGAAAATGGCATTTTATAAGAGAAAAATGGGGAAAAATGGGAGAAAATGGCATTTTATAGGGCAAAAAATTGTGAAAATGAGGAAAAATGGGGAGAAAATGGGGGGGAAAATGGGGAGAAAATGAGGGTTTATAAGGAGTTTATAGGTCGGATTTTTTGTGGGATTTTTGGAGTTTTTTCCCGGGATTTTTTGGGATTTCAGGTCCCATCTCCTCACAGAAAGATGTTGAGGGGATTTGAACGATTTTGGGAGGATTTGGGTGATTTTAGGGTGGCTCAGGAAGGCTCAGGGTGTGTCACCCACGCTCAGGTGAATTTGGGCTCTTTCAGGTCGGAATTTTTTGGGGATTTTCGGATTTTTCCGGGGATTTTTTTGGGATTTCAAGGCCCCACCTCCTCAAAGAGCCTCAAAGAGAAGTGTTGAGGGGATTTGAACAATTTTGGGAAGATTTGGGTGATTTTAGGATGGCTCAGGGTGTGTCACCCACGCTCAGGTGAATTTGGGCTTTTTCAGGTCGGATTTTTTGTGGGATTTTTGGAGTTTTTTCCCGGGATTTTTTGGGATTCCAAGGCCCCACCTCCTCTAAGAGCCTGAGGCTGCAGGCGTGGCTGGGAATTTGAATGACTTTGGGGGGATTTGGGTGATTTTAGGGTGGCTCAGGACGGCTCACATGGCTCAGGTGAATCTGACCTTTTCCAGGTCGGATTTTTTTGGGATTTTCGGATTTTTTCCCAGAATTTTTTGGCATTTCAAGCCCCCACCTCCTCGAAGAGCCTGAGGCTGCAGGCGTGGCTGGGAATTTGAATGACTTTGGGGGGATTTGGGTGATTTTAGGGTGGCTCAGGACGGCTCAGGGTGTGTCACCCATGTTCAGGTGAATTTGGACTTTTTCAGGTCGGAATTTTTTTGGGATTTTCGGATTTTTCCGGGGATTTTTTTGGGATTTCAAGGCCCCACCTCCTCGAAGAGCCTGAGGCTGCAGGCGTGGCTGGGAATTTGAATGACTTTAGGGGGATTTGGGTGATTTTAGGGTGGCTCAGGACGGCTCAGGAAGGCTCAGGACGGCTCAGGGTGTGTCACCCACGCTCAGGTGAATCTGACCTTTTCCAGGTCGGATTTTTTTGGGGATTTTCGGATTTTTCCGGGGATTTTTCTGGGATTCCAAGGCCCCACCTCCTCGAAGAGCCTGAGGCTGTAGGTGTTGTCATCGTCGGCGAAGTACACCACGCCGGGCTCGTCGCGGCCGCGCGTGTCCCGCAGCCAGCGCAGGGCGCGGTTCCGCTGCTCCGCCCCCCTCGGGAACAGCCAGGACGGGGCCCCGGGGCCCCCCCGCAGATCGGGGGGGGTCTCGGCGCTCAGGTGAGTGAAGGAGACCCCCGAGGACGCCAGGACCCCCCCCACCAGCGCCGAGGGGGCGGCGGCGTCCTCGACCACCACCCAGTGCAGGGCGGGGACGTGGAGCAGGGTCTGGGACAGGCGCACCAGCTCCGCCTTCTGCACCGGCCTGGGGGGAAATGGGGGGGTTAAAATGGGGCTGGGGGCGGCCCGGGGGTCCCGGGGAGTCTGGGAGGATCAGGGGAGGGAGCTTAGGTTGGGTTAAGGGGGGTAAATGGGGCTGGGGGCTGCAGCAGCTCTGCCTTCTGCACCGGCCTGGGGGGAAAT